CAGCACAGAGGTACAGATGCGGGGTCCAACAAAGACAAGGTGGGGGGGGGGAGGGGAAATATAGGGCCAGGATTTAGAAAGGACTTTATAGGGGTGTGCGTTGCATCCTTTTTAATAAGGGTATTTAGGAAATTTTAGTTCTGTTTTGTGACTATTTTATGACCTCTGTTATCAAATAAGCCCCTATTTTAAAAAAACTAAGTGGGCATATGCTCATGCCTGTAGAGAGCAACCTGGGACAGGCAAGAAAAGTGAGAATAAGACCTCAGATCACAGAAGTAGTTTTCTAGCAAGGTTAGTTTCCCCTTCAGGACCAGCCTAATGGCTGGGAGAATTTGGGATGTTCTTCAATGTCACATTTTTCTTAAAGGCAAAATATGTGGGGAGTAGGTAAAGTCTTCTTCTCTCTATGATGGATGTGTGTGTCTGTGTGTGTGTGTGTGTGTGTGTGTGTGTGTGTGTGTGTGTGTTTAAAGAGACAGTATCTCGCTTTGTTGCCCAGGCTGGACGTGAACTGCCTAGGCTCAAGGCATCCTCCTGCCTCAGCCTCCCCCCACCCCACCCCCAGTAGCTGGGACAACAGGTGTGTACCATGGTGTCTTCAAGAGGGCAGGGAACTTGATTGTGCGTCTGGATGAGAGCTGCAGGAAGGAGCTGTCTGAGATATGAAAACTCGAATGTAAATAACCTGTCAGGAAGCTGTTTTGACCTGAAACTGGGGCCTAATCTCAGTCACGTTAGTCGCATTGTACATGAATGAACAATTTTTAAAAGCACTATGGGGAGAAGGTAGAATGGTGGAGAACCCGAGGGAAAAGCAGCTAATATAAGGATAACTACTTTTCCCAAAAGGCATTTAATATTTTAAAAAAATGCTCCTGAATTGCAGATTCTAACCAAGGTGGGCAGAGCCAAGCTTGTACCACAAGGGAGTGAAACTGGCCTCCAGGGCCGTGTGTCACTGGGGGAAGCAAGTCAGGGTCCAGTGACAAGCTGAGTTCTGCACCTGCTCGGATGGAATTCTCGACGCGGCTGTGGTGTTCTCATCTCAACTTCAATGGACAGTCAGTGGTGTTACCCAAGAGTGGAGACACATTGAGGACAGCACAGTTACAAGTGGGCATGGGCTTTTATTCTCAGTGCATGGCAGTATTGGTTTCTGCTCATCAGCAAAAAGCTTTATTGGTTCCAAAAAAACTATCCCTTTTAAAATTCCTATTCTTCCCATCTCAGTGGAACAATACATTTGAATTTCAGATTTGCCAATTTATAGCATTTCCCCCCTAAGAACCATATAAATACATGCAAAACATTGTACATAGAGCTTAAATAATATCAAATGCAAATACAGATTGGGTGCACTGTTAAGCTGAATTGCAAATTATGGCAACACACACTGGTGTACACATTGCTTTGATATCACCATTTGTTTGTTTATGTCATGCAGACCACAAGAGTCAATCTTTTATTTTGTTTATTTTTCCTTTTTGTACAAAAATACTAGTGCTTGTTACACTAGTTACTAAAAAGAAGAAGGAGACACTCAAAATTCCTATCTGTGTGCTAATTTGAAAAGAACAACGCGGATAGATTTGTTGGCACATATATATGGCATATTCACATATGGCATATATACATATGGAGAGAAAACAGGAGCCAGAGGCCAATTCAGCTCCATGTGCCAGTTCCTTTCCCTTTCCTCTTGTTTCCTTTCCTGATCAAGAGGAAAGGGAACAGTAGGCCGAACAACAGGGTTGGGAAGGCAAAGGAACTGGCACTGAGCTCCATGGAAGGGTGTCTGGGTTACTCTGAGAAAGAGGCTGGAATGGCTTAAGAACGGCAGGCATTCATAAGTGCCTACCCACACCCATGCGTGGGGAGGTCTCCAGATATGAAAGGTTAGGAAGTGTGCACACTGTGATGGTGCCATGCGCTGCTTCAACTGTAAGGCGAGGGAAGTGGGAAAGAAAGGAAGGGATGCAATTAGAGGTCTTTCGGCATGTGCGAGCTTGCCACGCCCCTCTGGGTTTTTGGCCGAGGTAATCACTCAGATTTAACTGTGCAAACTCTCCCGTCAGAAACTCAAGGAGAAGAAACCCAAACCCTAAAGAATCTGCAAGTGTTCAGGTGACCTCTCTCTTAACACCTTTAGGGATGGGAGAGTCATTTCAGAGGACACAGGACACCTGTGGGAAGGATATAGCCCCAGGACTGTCACCCAGAGTCAGAACCAGCCATTGTTGTTTTTTCTACTTAGAGTTCTATCTCCATCCAATATATTGCACAAAATCTTTCTAGGGGAAGGAAGGAGTCACCGGTCAGATCCTTGTACAAAAACTCACTAATGGACAACTCTGGGGGAACAGGAAGTAAAATAATAAAACTTGCAACCCCCAAATCAGAGTATCCTTACAGACCAGGAGATATTAATGTCTTTGGTACCATTCTGCCAGCCATTCTTCAAGAAACACAAATCCAGCTGAGGCCCCTGACCCTAGTCACTAGTTACAAAAGAGTCTGGCCAATTCATCTCCGGGCGCACATTCATCTCCTGACAGCTGCGTCCCTTCTCGCTGGATGTCTTCCTCACTATCCACAGTCCACTACCTGTTTCCCTAGGCTTATCAAGAGAGGAATCTAGGATGGTATGCTCTCCTTCTTCCCATCAGACCCATTTCAAATCCAAAGCACCATTTTGGAGAAAAGCACTATTAACTTATGCCATATTTACTCACTGCCAGTTGGATCACTGAAACTGAATAGAAAAAACTCATATTAAAAAACATATGCACATAAACGCTTCAACTTACTAATTCCATATCAACAAAATTTATATTAAAAAAGTCTAGAACCCAACACATTTTTCCCCTAAGTATAAAGATGGCTGTTTGGAGAAAGGAAGTATGGTGTATTGGTTTTAAAATCAATGACAAATATACGAAATCACCTGTCATGTCAAATAGCTGGTTATGTACTCCCTTCCACAGGGTTACATGACGGCACTTTATTTTAAATCGTTTAAACAAAATACATATGGCTGACTCAAAAATATCAGTTTCTGATCTAAAGAAAACTATATATTTTTGCATATATTTCTATATTTTCTCTACTACTATGGAAACTAGAACACACACAAAAAAACCGTTGACTTTAAAAAAGTAGACGCAAGCCCTCAAGAGCAACCTGTCAGGCACCAGGAGAGTCTTTTGGGAACAGGAATGGTAAAATAGCCTCCAAAGCTTGTTATTGGCTTGCTTCTTCGAATGATCTGAGGTAATAAAAGACTTGATAGAATTAAATCTTCCAATATAGTTAATGAATAGATACGTGAACACCTAACGCCTTGGGTGAGCTGTTTTTTCCCCCTCACAAGTATTGAAGACAGAGAAAAAACTGCTGAAGTATGTAGGCTTTACAAAACCCAAATTGTATTTGCTTTCCTATTTCCTACAATGATGGGTATGCAGTCGTGGGAATGTATAGGGGGTATTTTTTTCTGCAAGTTTCCTACTTTCGATAGCTCAGGGGCAAGAGAAGAAGTATCCAGAAGAGAAGGTTGAGTGGATCAGGTCCCCTTCCTCTCACACATGGACATTTGCAGTTCATAAGCCCCCTTTCTTGGTTTCCATCACTATAGAAAGAGAGGGTGGGCTTTTTGTGTATCTAAGGGGAGATGGGAGCCGGGAACATGAATTAGCCCCTGCACAGAAGTCAACATCAGGGAGGAAAATGAAGCTTCTGCAAATGTAGCTCCACCTTGTCCCAGTAAGGAACACTTAAAAGACATCTCCTAGCAAAGTCTCCAGTTCCTGAGAGGCAGGTGGGAAGGGGATGCTTTGGGCAGTGTTCAGGGCGAAAAGGCACAGGGCTTGACTGAACAGCCACTGGAGCCCGTGGCTGGAGAGAGCTTGAGGGGGGCATGTGAGAGAAAGGGGAAGAGAGAAGGAGGAAGGTGGGTTTTGCTTCTCTAAGTCAGGAAAATGTCACAGGGGCCTCCGACTTTGGAAACGTACTTTCAAAATCTGGGTATTTGAGAAGGGCTGGGACCTTCTCAGAGACCGGACAAGCTGTGGGACACGGTGAAGAGTAGAATTAGACACTGTGGAATATGTCGAGGCTGGAACCCAGGCACCTAAACTCAAGGTTTCTTGTCCCTGCAGGAAGGTTTTCTCAGTTCGTGCTAGAATAGCTCTTTGGCCTCTCCCAAGGCTTTGCAACATTCATTCACCCAGTAATCAGGTCCTGCCCTGGAAGAGACTTGGCAGATGGCTTTAAAAGCGGTGGTCACCCCAAGGAAGACCCCATGAGAGTCGTCTGCTTTGATGGTTTGCCTTGTCCTAGAACTGCCAGGTTCTGTTCCTCAACACTCAAGTCCAGCAAGGAGGCAGGGTCAAACCCGATTTATTCTTTTGCCATCACTTTAGGAATAAGAGAAAGCCAGAACTATGGTAAAAGTTAGAATATATTTTCTATACACATGCGGCCTTCATGGGCAAGGCTGATCTCCCTGATGCTTAAAAAACACCTGACAAGATGGCAGTTTACAAATAAAGGTCACCTGTCAACAACAGGGAAACATTTTTTCTTTTTTTTTTTTGAGTTGGAGTCTCACTCTGTCACCCAGACTGAAGAGCAGTGGCCGCTCCTGGTCACCGCAGCCTCGACCTGCTGGGCTCCGGCGATCCTTCTGCCTCAGCCTTCCAAGTAGCCGGAATTACAGGCATATACTACCACGCCCGACTGATTTTTTGATTTATTGTAGAGATGAGGTCTCGCCAAGTTGCCCAGGTGGGTCTCGAACCTGTGGGCTCAGGCAATCCACTCACCTCAGCCTCCCAAAGTGTGGGATTACAGGCTGAGCCACCAAGCCTGGCTGAAACATTCTTACTAGTATTTCATTTCTTCAAAAGGACCTTTTTAGCAAAGAAAGCTGTTTGATTCTAGAACTAAATCAAGAGTTCATTTGGGACCAAAAGGGAGAATGGTTACAGTTCACTCAGTTCACCCATGTCCTTTCCTTTATCTTAATCATTGTAAATTTAAAATAAACAAATACACAAAGAGGGAAGAAAAGAAAGATAAAGGTCACAAAAGAACTTTGGGGAGGTTTGACTGAAAGGGTAGAAAGAGCTAGAGGCCTTTAGGTAAAAGTTTTCAAAATGGGAAAAACTGTTTAGAAACAATCACACTACTGGCTGATTTTATACATTCCATCCCTACCTGAATGTATTTCATTTGGGGGTTTTCATCTCTCTCTGAACCCTCAACTTAGCTTATAAATGACAAGACTCATAGGATAAGGAGATGGAGACATAGGTACGAATGTGGGGAAGAATTTAGGTTGGGGTGATGCCAAGAGGATTGTCATCTTTTCCTTAAGCATGACAACTGTCTACCCAAGGAGTAGATTCTACCATTATCTGCCTGGGGTTTGACTGGGTCCTGCTACAAAGCCCAACTCAAGTGTAAGCTGAAATTCTTGCGGGACTGTACTCTTGTCTCTTCATGGTCAGGTCGGGGTTCACACACACTTGGGAGCAGCTGATAGAATGAAAAATCCCATCATCACCTTACAGATGGGACAGATGAGAAAAGAAAGAGGCAAGGTAGGGATGGAAGTCAGAATGTGAACATTCAAACTGATGTTTCCAAGCTGTGTAGAGGGCTGTCCGAGTGGGAGGCAACAGTTTGCACTTGGTTGCAATCCACTGCATTGTTATTTTTGTTGGCAAGTGGAGTGATGTCACCATCCAATAGAAGCACCCCAGTCCCAGAAGCCTTGTCAGGAATTTCCTCTTCTTGCTCATCCAGGAGTGGTGTTCGTGGCAACTCCTCATCTATGGCGAATTCAGGGTGGGTCATGAAGTTGTGGATGGAGTTTTGGTTCTTGGGTTTCTGAATGCTTTCGTGGAGAGAACTATGGAATGCTTTGACCACTTTGATCTATACCAGGGGAAAGAAATGGAGGATGAGAAAATAGGGAGATGAGAATTGGCCAGAAGAACAAGGAACCGGTGGTTTGAGGAGAGAAACAAAACCCAGACTACAAACCATGACTGCTCAACAACCAAAATCAAACACGTAAGAAGACACCAGGGGGCACTAGAAACATCACACGGCTCAGAGTTCAAGCAGTGGGGTGGAGTGAGTGATGGCAAACAAGTAGGATGTTTCAAAAGCTGCATTAAAAAAAGTAGAAAACTCAAAGCCAAGTTAGCATTCCCAAACAATCCATTCTTCAAATAAAACAGAAAACAAGAAGTTTCATTAGTTCTTTTAGATGGAGGGCAAGGACATTGGAACTAAATGCAAATTAACAGCCAAACTTAAAGATGATTCAGACATGTGGATTTCTGTGTTGAGGTTAAACATTTTGTGAATGTGGAATGGAAAAATTGCACATTAAATTTTAGTTATCTGTTTAAAGCCCTCAAAGAGCTAGCATATACCTATCTGCACATACACATTGGGTGACAGGTGACCATGAATACTGTGCAGCCAGGCAGAGAGATCAATTTTCATTTGTGTCAACGGCATGCAGGAAATTAAAACTCTCCAATTTAATAGTTTGCCCTTTCAGTCAGGAAACATGCATATATTTACATCCCACGACCTCCATTGTGTCCCCGCCCCCAAAGAACACAGAACTCTACTCCTTTGGTCCCTCCCCTGGAAGATGGGGATTAAATTCAGGTGTCAAACGGATGACTTCCTCCTGCCTACTGATAGAAGACCTGGCTCTCATAACTCACATGCATGTCCACGTCTCTGCTACATAGCAACTGTGCCCAATCATGCTGCTTTCTCCAGCTGTTTCCAAATTGTGAAGAGGAGCATGATCTTATGAGAAGAAGGGAAAGGAAGGGACCAAGGAAAGAAACCTAATCCGGGAGGCAGTGCTACAAGCAAGTGGCCTTTCTGATGTGGTGGAAAGTGAATGGAAGAAAGGAAGCAATTTGCAGCTTTGCTGGGCAAAGAGAAATTTATTGACCTATGTCAAAGTCTTTGTTCTACTCAACAAAAAGGAAGGGATTAAATCAATTCAGGGTCAAGAGGGAAAAAAACAACAGTTATTGATCCCTGTGAGCAGGCTTTGCTTGTCCATGGCACCAGCTTTTTTTTTTTTGACAGCTCTGCTTTTGTCTCTCTTAGAACCTGAGTTGGTAGAATTGGGAAGGGGAAGGGGTATGCATCTCTGAGAGGTGAGAGACAGAGACCAGGGGAAAGGCAAGTGGTTAAAGGGCAGTTTGAATTGTTGGGAAGTGGCTGATGCTAGTCTCGTCCAAAAAAATCTTTCATCAGAGAAGAAATGGGAGGAATGCAGGGGCAGTTGTTGAGGTGGAAAGTGGGTAGGGAGGAGTGATGAATGTTGGGGTAGGGCATCTCTTTCATTCCTTTGCTGTTGAAGCAAAAAATATGTTCCTGGAGAAGAAGCAAGAATTTGGAGACAGCAGAGTATACAAAGAGACAGCCAAATTGGCTGACCTCTCTGTTCCAATGCTTCCTACCACTGTATAGAATAACCTTCAAAAATACTCCCCAAAGAAGGCTCGCCATCAGCAGCAGTCAGCACTGTTGGTCCCTCTTCTCTGGAGGAGAATGTATCTCTGCTGGCTAAGGCTTTCTTTATCTTGCTGCACTCTACCTCAGCCTGCAGACCTATCCAGGACTGAGAGTGCTCGGAGTTCAGAAGGCAAGGGACTCCTTGCCACTCAATAGCATTAGCTCAACCGCTTCAGCTAAGAATCAAGGAGCCTGGGCATATAATCACAATGCTGAACGGAAAGTGAGGACCGACTTTTCCATCCTTCTATGATTCCTATTTGGCCATATGATGTATGAATTTTACCTGTCATGTCTCCTTTGATCTCCATCTAGGTGAGATCAGATGGAATTAAAGCTCCATCTAGTCTTCAAGAGGCCCCAAGTTTTCACTTATCTATCAAATCTTAGAGCAAGACGACTTGTATCAAGTGAGCCCAAGCTCAGTGCCTTTTCCCTTTGCCCTGGTACAAATACACGAATCCAAAGCCATCCCATCTCATCAAAGCCATCACTGTTAAGAGTGACAACATAGCCCATACTTTTCACCTGCTCTTGAGATCTCAAAATTGCTAATGAGTACTATAGGAGAGCAGGTATTTTACACTACCAGTTCATCATCTTCAATATCAATGATTTTCAAACTTCCTGTTTCTATTCAATTGGATACTTTATTGAAACAATTATATGTAAAGTTCATGATAGAAAATAGATTTTAACAATTGGGGTTGGAGTGAGGGTCTGCGGCCCTGTTTGCTGGCTTTTCCGTTCACCTGTTGGGATGACCAACAATACTGTTGCAGGTAAACAATAAGGGAGATAAAAGTGAGTTGGGGATGGGTAAATGGAAAAAATAGGGGAAGCTTCTTTGGGAGCGCAAGGAACAGTCATCCAGTTAGACTGCAGAGCTTCAGGAATCTAAAGGGAAACCAGCTACCTGTAAGGGAAGCTCAAGTGAAGAGGGGTCAGAAAGCTTGGGAACACCACCTGGGCTGGTGGCCGGAGAGAAGGGTGAAGGAGGAGGGCATGAGGTTGTGCCAGAATGCCTCAACTCCAACACTGACCACAGAGAACACATGCTGATGAGCAATCACGCATTATCACCACCAGTCCACCCAGGGTAGGCATCATCCCTTCCTGGAGCATAGTGTTTGGTGTGTGAGCAACCCATGGGGACAAGACGGGGCTAGTGAAGTAGTTGCAGTGAAAGCTTCGAGCACTCTCCTCTCAACCAATCAACTCTTCCCTCCCTGATCAAAATTTCTCAAAATCTCTGGCAAATGTCTCTTCTGGGGCCCCTGTCCTACGGGTGAAGTGGCTGATTGAAGTGCACCTCGTTTTCATTACTCAAGAGCCCCACCAGGCTGGATCTTAGATCAGGTATGAGTGCTAAAAGCTACTACTCTCTTGAGCTCAGTGAGGGAGCAGGTGAAGACGCCATCTCCACTGTTGGAATTCTGGAGTTTTCTGCTATCTTTTTGGAAACCAGGGAATGAGAAGGATCAGGGCTATTACTGACCAAGTTCAATTCTGTAAGATTAGAGAAATCTTAGTGATCTATCTAATGAAAGTTGGGCAAATAATCAAATTTATTTGGAAATCTGGAATGGGAAAGAGGTTTTAAAATCCATGACTGTAATTTCTAGGACCCCTGACTAGGAAGGCACAGCTGGAGAAAGAGCAGGTGTGGCCTGTCTCTTCTCTGATCATCTAGCCTTTGAGGGTTGGGAGCACACCCTCTACCAGCTCCTCTTCAAGAGCCAAATGGGCTCAATCTTCTGCTTGGTCAAACCACTGGGACATCTGACACTAACCCTTCCTACCAGAGAAGGATGAGCAAAGCAGAAGTTAGTAAGAAGGAGATAGAAAAACTAGTAAGAAAAAAAAGGAATATAGAGACAAATATGGAAGGACTGGAGCAAGACGCTCTTAGATATTTGCAGGGCAAGGCTTATTTAGTTCTTTCTTGCCTTCTTTGGACCTAAAGAAATTGTATGCATCTACATCAAGGGCCATCCCACATACCTCACATCAGAACACTTACAGTTGGCTAAAAAGACAAAACCAATTGAGTCTTGTCAACTAGCATAGTCCACAATCATGTGAATTACACACAAGGCATCTGTTCTTTCTTTATCCCCATCCCAGAGCTGGTGGTAAGCCTGGGAATGGGGGAGGAAAGAATAGAGCACTTGGATATTTGAAGTCCACAATATACTTAATACAGAGAAACTTCTTCCCGCACTATGGGCAAAGAGTTGGCTGCCTTCTCTCTCCTCTTTGAGTCCCATCTGGGGAAGGAATCCAACAACCTACCAATGGGAACACCAGAGTGAGAGTTGATAGCATTCCAATTGAAAGTCTGGCTGAAAAAGGGGGTTTCGAAACTCTACGTATAAAATAAGATACAAATGGCTGGCTTTTGATGAAACAATCAAACTAGAAGAAAGGAAAAACAAAAACAAAACAAAACAAAAAAGGGGGGCAGGGAGTTGCTCTTCAGAAACTCCTAGAAAAAAGTTTAGTAAATGAAGAAAGAAAAAATAAGTTATTTTGACCCTTTCACATATTTCTCCTGCCTTGATATGAATTAATTGATTCTTTTTTTGAGTTGAAGTCTCACTCTTGCTCAGGCTGAAGTGCAGTGGCATGCTCATGGGCTCCTGACCTGCTGAGTTCCTGCAGGTGATCCTTCCGCCTCAGCCTTCCAAGTAGCTGGAACTACAGGCAAGTGCCACCACGCCCAGCTAATTTTTTGATTTATTGTAGAGACGAGGTCTCGCCAAGTTGCCGAGGCTGGTCTTAAACCCCTGGACTCAGGTAATCCTTTCGCCTTGCCTCCCAAAGTGCTGGGATTACTGGCGTGAGCCACCGTGCCTGATGAATTAACTGATTCTTAAAACAGAGTTTGGTTTAAAGTCCCTGAAAAGTAAAATAATGGGTGTATTCTGTTCTACCTTCTTTTCCTCACACTCAGCTATAACTTGTATGCTTATATTGCCAGACAACAATACAGTGGTAGCCAAAGGGACAAATATTATTGACCGAGTTTGATATTACCTTAATTATGAAAAGTCCACTGGTAAAAAACCTACAGGCACATTAGCACATATCTTTCTTCAGGAGATCCCAAACTTGCCCCCATGTAAAGAGAGTTCCTGGGTTTTCATTTCGCCTAACCTCACACCTAAGCTTAGGCAGTGGGGTTTAGACTCAAAAGAGCAGGAGGAGAGGAATAACATACCCAAACAAAGCAAAAAACAAGGTAAGCAAAACAAACAAAACTCAAGAAAGGAAGAAACAAGCGATGCAGAGGAACACTCAGAAAACAGGATTATTATCTTTAAAATAATTAAGGTTTAATAGCTTTTCTATATTAAAAAAATAAAACATAAGGGCACACAGCCTGGTTTTAGATTGGGATTTTTGTCTTTTCTTCCCTTACGTCAAAAGATCAAAGGGAAAATCCAAAAGGAAAAGATAACCACGGGTTGTTAAAGTGGATGCCACGTGCTCTCTTGTGGTCATTTTAGCAAATCATGCATCATAATAGACTATCACTCACTGCCCATAGGAGGAGATGAAACAGCAGCAACAGAGGTGGTGGGGGAAGATTTGACTGGTACATAGGATGAGCTAGGAACAAGTTTTACATCAAGGTGTTGACCCATGTTCTGTCGCCTTAGGACTCCCTTAATAGAGGCTCCCGTCTGGAATGTGTTAATTACGTCGATCTGCAAAGAATCAGAGAGTGAGACAGCTTTGCTCCACAGTCAGAGAGAGGTGAAGAAAGAGGAAGGGAAGGTTATGGAAGGTTGGGAAGGGGGGTGGAAATTATCGGGAAAGGGAACAGGAGATAGAAAGCAAGAGAGAGATTTCCTTACCCCCAATGGAATGGTGAGAAGGGGGAAAATGTTAATTACATACCACACTTCATTTAGGGAACAATTTGCCATGGAGTCCCAATGCCCAGTCAGAATCTAGTTTTCTCTTCCCTTTTAGCCTATGGTGAGCATTTAAGGTGTTCAGGTGGCCAAGAGTATTTAAAATTTAAAAGAACTTTTCTCTAATAGCTAGACAGAAGCTGGCAGCTTTATTTATTGTTTTTACCTGTACTCTTAAAAATAAGGCAGGCAATTTAAGATACTGAAGGCAAAGTATATATTACTGAATTTTAAGGCTCCTGAAACTCTAAGCCAATTAAAATGGACTATTTTTGCAGACTTTCATGTGTTTAGAGAAAAAATGGGCAGTGTAGTAGCCCACACATAGGTGGACATGATGATGGAAAGGCCCCTGGACCATGAGTTGCAAGGCTCATCCTCTTCTGGGTATCTTCTTTGACATACCCTTTCCCTGGGCTGAAGTGTATAGGGTCCCTGAGAATGGAGCTCAAAGATCCAGTGGCCAGGCCCATTAGAGAGAATGCTATTTACTGCATTAATATATTAGAGATTCTGAAATGTCTGGCAGAAATGCTGACTCAGCAATTCGACTGAGGGAGGGGGAGTTTTGGTTGGTGGTGATGGTGGTGAGCAGGTCTCAGCCTCCACAGAGAGTCTCTGGTTTTCACTGTGCTAATTCTCAGAGACAAAGGCAATGAATGTCACTCATCTTCCATCAATGATCCTGACCTGGGGTCTCAATCAAATCTACCATCTTTATCCCTGACCCCTAAGTAGCAAGGAACAAATCAAAAGGAATTTTCTTTATCCTTCATGGATCTGGTGAAATAATCTTAGAAATATCCACTTGCCTAATACCAGGGGTCTATCTACCAAGAATGTTGGAAAGGGGTTGATTCCATTAACCTGAATTCATTCTCTGGGAGAGAAGATAGGAAAGCAGGCATCATGTGAGTGAGACAGTTGTTCTTATTTATGAAGCTTCCTGAGAAGCCATGACATGTTTAAGGGTAGTTTCTGGATCCAGATCAAAGTTAGAGCTAAAACATCACCCCTTCCTCACATAAAATTTTTGGTTCCAGGGGACTGAAGAGCCTGAACCTGCAGGAGCAAAGGGTTTATACTTGGGAGGGTTCTAGCTCCGTGGAAGAAGGGGCAGTGGAGACACCTTGTTCAGTGCTTGTTAGGGTTACAAGGTCCCAACCTCCACAGTGAAACTGGATCCCAGGTTGAACTTTTCAAATTCTAGCCTTTAAGTTTCTTAAACTTCTGCTTTCTAGTGTTCTTAGCACCCTAAAAGTTAAAGGGAAAAAGAAAGAGGAACAGCCTAGAACTAAGGAAAGGGGAAACCACAACCGGGACTAGACAATAGTTTGGCAACACCTCCCACTCCCAACGCTACAATGAGAATAACAACGGTCAATATTGAGATGGCAGGGGATTTTGTTAGAATCCAGCTGAGGCCGAAAAGTTGATACTAGAAGTGGACCTCAGGGACCTAGAATGCATGTTAGCATAGTTAGCCTCATCTGCTTACAGGGTCAGGTGCATACCAGAATGGTATAAGGTTGATCATTATGGCATTTTTAACAGGTTGCCTTTGGAGCCTAAGTTTAGGCCTCATTGGCATTCTGGCCCAACTGCCTCATGCTCCAACAAGGAAAGGCAGTAGTATACCTAAAGCTGTGTAGGCAGTGAAGCCAAGCAGAGAGGTGCATAGTCAAGGGAATGGAAACTGGTAGTGGAGGGGAAGGAAGACCCGTGAATCTTGGTCTCCCAGGACAGAAAATTGACAAGGAGCAAGGAGGCACTGGAATGAGGGAATCCTGGCTAGGAAAAAAAAAAAAAATCACATAGTAGAAGAGGAGGCAGGTGATCCTGAAGGGAAGAAAAGCAAAGACAGATTATTTTGAAAAGAGTAGACCCAAAGGAAAGCACAGGGGACTTTAGAGACGGGAGCCAAAGGTGCCAGGTTCTATGGGCACTTGACGGATTCAGTAGCCTGGAGGATGAGGCGGAGTGGGGAGTGGGTTATGGGAACTCTGAACAACATGAGGCACTGCTGGGATTCTTCTTTCTGGGATGAGGCACACAGGAGAGGGGAAAGAAATCCCAGTGTTCCCCTACCTGGCCTTCCTTTCCACCTTTTCATCTGCTGTCTTACCCATGGGAGAGAAGTTTCAGCCAGGTATGTAGTTTAGAATATCCACCCCACCGATATTCCCTACACACTGAAGAGGTGAGGTTGACTGGGGAATTTTCTAAACCATCTGCAAGACCAGTTTTAGAGAGTGAAATTTATGATTTGGGGGATCTCCAGTCAATCAACAGACAGAAATAAGCCTGTTCTCTGGAGATCACCCTTGAGGTCTTAGAATTTACATTTTCTTGAGATGGGGAATCTCAGAGTTAAAGCAATAAAGATATGTGGGGTGAGAACAGGAAAAGACAGGATTATCAATGCCTAGACCAGCTCATTCACCCTGGAGAAGGTAGTAACAATTGATGCATGGAAAGTGTGTGTGTCGGGCGGAGTTACTGCAGGGCCATCAGCAGGGGACTTAGGAGCAGCTGCCATCTCATTTCAGAAATTGCAAGAAGGGAAAAGGTTTAAGGAAATTAGAGCTTCCTCCTTGTCAGGAAGCAAGTCTGAGTCCTGCAAAAAAGACACTTCGAGATACAATTGTCACTTATACACTAAACCACCAGATTCCCCACCATGGCCTTACATTTTGAGTGGGGAAGATATAAGAGGGTGTCTCTATGCCACTGCCCCCAGTATTCACTTAATGTGATGTCCTCACACTGTCATTATAGTAATAGGTGCTGCCTGGGGGGACATTTTTCTTTTACAAAGATCCCCCCAGGTAGCATCTACTACTATAATGGCAGTGTGCGGATGTTACATTAAGTGAATACTGGGTACACTGGCATAGAGATGTTGTCTAACTCCTTTCTACTGAAGGGTAGGGAAAGACCCAGAACATCTCCCATCCTGGGGTCAGGTCTGGTGCTTACAAGAGACCTTTTGCAGGAAGCTTGCTTCCCTGACAGAGGGTGGCCAACCCAAAGCTAAAGGACTGAGCTAATAATGTTCCTTGGTCTGATCCTTTGACTACTCTCAGAGGAGCCTGCACAAGTTCCTCTGCTCCTGTCTTTCCTGAAGCAAGGGAACCAGGGCTGCCCATTAGCAGTGAGCCTTTGGAAGGGGAGAAATGTGGCCACCAAGGCCTGCTGCCCTCCCAACACCCCCAAGATGGGAGGTTGCTCCTCCCAGGGAAAGATTAGACCATTATCAGAGTACCTGAGTCTGGATACGGTTCAGGCCCCGGAACCAGAGGATCTGGCCTCGGCGCAGCTCCATCTCTGCATGGTCAATCTCGTCCAGTCCCTCAGCATCCTTGGTGATCTCCTCTTTGGTGGTGCCATGTCCAGCTTCCTTTAAGAACTTCAGGGATTGGGTGGGTATTGCAGAGATGACCTGAGAACAAGAGCAGTGAAAGGAGAGACACCGGAACCAGGTGAGAAGCGCTGTCAATCACCTGACATGGTCAGGCCTTTGAGTAGATAACTCTTTATCCGATCACCACAAACACTGGGATGGCAGTGGGCAGAAGCACCAATCTGCTCAGGTGAGCATTCTCCATGTGCCCACGGCTGTCAGGTTCTCAAAAGGGCTTTCTATATTTATGGACATACAAGAGAGGGCTTATATTCTAGTACTCTACTAGCCACTTGCTTAGTTATAGACTTCATTCTCCTTTTTTTGCCTCATTTCTTCCTTTCCATTTTGCCATCTGTCTTCTAAGGGAAACAGAATGATAATACATAGTATACTGGAAGGGACAGAGACCAGGACCTGGGGGAAAGCCACTCTGGGGAGAAGATAGTCACATTGCCTGTGTATGGGAAGGGAGTAGAGGAAGGCGTTAAAAGTGAATGACTCTCTTTTTAGTTACCACGTGCAACATAATGATCTGTAAACTCTTCTGTTTCTAAGACCTCCATTCTTTTGTTTTGTTTTGTTTTTGTTTTTGAGTCGGAGTCTCACTCTGTCGCCCAGACTGGAGTGCAGTGGCCACTCCCGGCCACCGCAGCCTCGACCTGCTGGGCTCCGGCGATCCTTCCGCCTCAGCCTTCCAAGTAGCTGGAACTACAGGCGCGCACTACCACGCCTGGCTAATTTTTGACTTATTGTAGAGATGAGGTCTCGCCAAGTTGCCCAGGCGGGTCTCGAACCTGCGGGCTCAGGCAATCCACTCACCTCAGCCTCCCAAGGCACGGGATTACAGGCTGAGCCACCGAGCCCGGCTAGACCTTCATTCTTGTTCCATCTCCTATGGAGAAGGAGAGGTCTGCAGGCTGTACAAATGCATGGGGAGGGCGTGCCACCCACCACTCACCTGGCCCCACAGAAGTTCTCCAATCCCGATAAAGAGACACCACAGCCATTGGGACAGGCTGAGTTTTGTGCAACTGAAGGGTTTACCTCCAAACTCCACGATGAAAATCTAGAACAGAGAAGGGGCAGCCCACCATCAAGGAGACGACTAACATGTATCTAGCCCTCCAGCCAAGGCCACCAGAGCCACATCATCCCCCATCCAAGAATCCCTGGGGCACAAAGTCCTGATTTGCATGCTGGGAAAGAGAAAAGAAGAAATCGAGAAGGGGAGGTAGATACAAACAGTCTTTATGGAGTGCTCTGACGGGGAGACAGACACAGTTACTATAATTATGATTAACATAAGATCTGGGGGACTTGGGGAAGGTAGAGGCTTTTTGTGACTAAAGCCAGCGGGTGACAAACAGAAGGCACAGCAACGGAAAATGGAACTGAGGATGGGGGCAAATAAGAAAGGTGCTCTGCTGAGGGATGGGGCAAGAGTACTTCTGTTACACAGTGAGCTCCCCAGAGATGCAGCGTTACTCCAACGAGGGCAAGAAGGAAGAGGTCCAATCCTTTACCACCAGGGCAGCCATGCCCTTTACCCCAGTTCCCACAGGAGGAGCCCAAGCGGGCTGACTATGTCAACCACAAGTGCACCATGTCATCACCTCCCTTTCTCTGAGAATTCCACAGATGGTCTACCACAAGCCCCTTCAGAACAAAGGGGCAGGGACAGGACGAGAGTTTACTCTTGTGCATGCACATTTCATGAATGTAAAAACTTCTGTGTATTTCGAAAAATAATGAAAGGATTCTATGACTCTTATTTATTTGTAACCTACATGCAGCCTTGTCCTGAAGTTCCTTTTTTTTGAGTTGGAGTCTCACTCTATTGCCCAGACTGGAGTGCCAGTGGCCGCTCCTGGCCACTGCAGCCTCTATCTGCTGGACTCCGGTGATCCTTCCGCCTCAGTCTTCCAAGTAGCCGGAATTACAGGCATGCGCTACCGCACCCGGCTGATTTTTTAATTTATTGTAGAGATGAGGTCTCGCTGCCTAGGCGGGTCTCGAACCCGCGGGCTCAGGCAATCCACTCACCTCAGCCTCCCAAGGCGCAGGATACAGGCTGAGCCACCGAGCCCGGCTTATTTTATTATTAATAATAATAATTTTTATAGTCCCGAGGTCTTGCTGTGCTGCTCAGGCTGGTCTCAGACTCCTGGACTCAAGCACTCCTCTCTCATTGGCCCCCAAACTCTGGGATTACAGGTGTAAGCCATTGTGCCTGGCAAGAATTATTTATATTAAATTTTTCTCTGTCCAAATAGGTGGTATGGTTTCTGTCTCCTGAATAGATCCTTACTGATACAAGGGATTAAGACTTGAAAAGTCAAAGGAGGAAGTGATTTATTCTGACAATGAGGATAGAGTACAATGACTTCAACCAGACTTTGAAAGTTGACTTGGATTTTGATAGATAGAGAATGTGAGTAAAATATGAATTTCAGGAGACACTGAGTATGGTGACCAGGCTGCAGTGCAGGATTTATCAAGGAGTGCCCTCAAGGGACACAGAGGCCTAACCAGTGTGGATTTTGGTGGCATAGCAATGAACCCAGGCTTTTTCTCTGGGCAATGAAGAACTATCAAATGTGTCTGAGGAGGAACAGAACAGGATTGAATGTGTCAGAGGAGTATCAAGAAATTGCCTGAGGTCATAGCCATAGGACTGGAATAAGACTCACAAAGATGATTCTGCATTTCTACTGAAGCTCATGCTATGGAGCAAGTAAAGACCAAGTCTGGACTAAGACTTTGACCTTGACCTTGCCCTGCTCTACCTTTCACATGCAGAGGAATGTTT